GTCATCGAGAAGGCTCCCAGGAGGTAGTGAGGTCTGGGCGCAGCGCGGACGCAGCGTGCAGGCCCGAGTCCCTGTGCCGCCGACCTCCGGCAGGCCGTGCGAGGGGCTCTCGAGTGACCCTGCGACCCCGTGTCACCCCGAGCCTCAGCGCCCGGCCCTGTCGAGTGGGGCAGTGACCCTTGAGGTCTGGAGCACTGCGGCTCGTGGGCAGGGGGGGCGGGGAGGGGGCCTCCACCCTGTTCTCTCCGGCCTCATTGGCTGAGGTGGCCCCAGGGTCAGACAGGCACAGCTGACTTCAGCAGCCAGCGGTTTAGAGTGAGGCTTTGCCCGCCCCGGGGTTCAAGTGCCCACCACCTGCCTGCTGTGAGGTCTGGGGTGAGTGGCTTCCTGGCTCTGGCCTCAGTTTCCTCACCAGCAGAATGGGACCTAAGGGTGTCTGCCCCATAGGGACACTGTGGGGACTAGCAGGGGTGGTACTCAGGACAATACCTGGCACACAGTTGCCCCTCACTAAGTACTGCCCTCCTCATTTCTGCCTCTCTGAGCAGCTCCCGCTGGCCCAGGGCTTCCCCAGGGGGATCCCAGTTGGCTGCGGTCTGAGAACCATACTCACAGATGGGTTTTCCACCGCTCCCTGCTGCTCCCACTCCCCACTTGGGAGCCCTGAGGTTGGGTCACCCCTTATTCTGGATATGGCTGCCAGGTGGTAACTGTGGCAACATATAGTTAGAAACATAGAATCACACAAAATAAAACCCCATGGAATCCTCACTGCAGTTCTATGACGCAGGCCCTGGTAAACTGAGATCCTACAGATGCAGCCTGAGGCTGGGGGCGGGGGGCCCAGGTCCCACAGGTCTCCGTCAGCAAAGCTGGGAGGGGCTCCTGCTCTCCTGCTTGCTCTCCCCTTCCGGCGACAACCCAGCAGTCCTGGTCCCAGCTTCCCACGCCTGTCCCAGGGCCTGGGGGGCTGGCCTCAGCCACACCTTTCCCTGGGGTGAGAGCCAGGAAGGTTGGAGGGGCTGGGGAAGCGCAACTCTCAGTGTCTCTGCTGCAGGGCCTGGAGCTGTGCCGAGTGGTGGCTGTGCACGTGGAGAACCTGCTCAGTGCCCGGGAGAAGCAGCTCACGTTGCCCCCCAGTGAGATCACGCTGCTCTGACCGGGCCCCTGGCCCTGCAGCTGCCCTCTGCTGAAGGCTTGCTCTGTGGCCCCAGGGGAGTCACCAGGTCTCTCTGGGCCAGCGACCCCTGTAAGGGCCAGACCCTTGTGGGAGACAAAGGTTGCAGGACGAACAACCCAAGTCACCAGGAACCCAAGACCCATTCAGAGTTGGGATGGAGTCAAAATATGCAATCTTGGGTCAGATAGCAGGAGGAACTTCCAAGGCTGCCCAATGGGGCCTCCTGCCATGCACACACTGCAGGCCCTGCCCAACTCCTGCCTGTGGCAGGGAAGCCCCAAACCGGTGACCTGGATGAACGGGACTTTGCCTTTGGTTTGATGGGTCTGATGTTCAAATTTGCTCCACCTCTCAGCCCCTCACCTGTCCTCCTTGGGTGCCCCCTGCATTGCCACTCAGCTTGGATTCATGCCCCTTGGTCATTACAGATAAAAGGTGCACCTAGCACCCATTCCTCCAGGGAGTTGCTGAGTCGCTGGTAAACAAGCCTGAGGGAGGAGGCAGGAGCTGGAGCCCGTTGTGCCCAGCTCACTGCTCATAAACAGAACTTCAGCAGAGACATCTGTCCTGACCTCTCCCTGCAGACCCCCTTGGGTAGCCCCAATTCCAGACTCCCATCCCTGGATGGGCCACACAAGGTTTAGCAGTGGTATAGTGGACAGGGACATTTCATGGCAGGGGCTGGGGAGGGAGAAGCCTGGGAAACAGCTTCCCAGAGAGTAGGACTTTGCTGTTGGGTTTTGAAGGATGAGTACAAGTTTGCTAGGAGTAGATGGAGTAGAGGGGAATGAACATTCCAGGGAAAATTGTTTGCTCCCTACTATAGCCCCTAGAGCTTAGGACAATGCCTAACACAAAGTAGCACTTAAAAATACTTGTCACATGAATAAAAGAATGAATGAATGTTGATGAAAAGTCCTGGTGTTTTGGGGAAACTGAGTGGAGGGAGCACCTGACTTGGGAGAGGACGTCTGGATAGGCATGTAGGGGCATAATTGGCTGGAGCCATAGCATCAGAGGATTTACTTACTTATTCATTACCTATTAAGCAGCTCCTGTGTAGGCACTGGGAGTTGCTCACAAACTGTAAACCAGGACAAAATCTCTATGTGGGAATTAGCTAGATGATGAGAGGAGGAAACAGCATGTGCAGGAACTAGGGGTGGATGTTACTACTTACTAGTGGCAGAACTTGAGACCAGAGGCTGGCAGAGGTGGACTGGGTAAGGCTTTGCAGACTCCGTAGGATTTCCTCCCAAAAGCCACGAAGAGCCTTGAAAGGTTTTCATTCAGGGTAGGGCAATCTGCTCAGATTGTATTTTGAAAAGGTCATTCTGACCACAGAGCAAAGTTCCTGTAGAAGGCAGGGAGGCCAGAGGGGAGGCTGATGCAGTGTCAGCTGAGAAACTGGGGTGGATCCTCTTGGTAGTAACAGGGCTGGGGAGACGTTAACTTGGGAGAAATTTAGGAAGCCCAATGGGCAGGACTGAGGATCAGTCAGACCAGCCCGAGGCAGGGTCAAGGAAGAGATACCACAGGAGCGTCCCACTTCTACCACTGCCTCAGGTTGGCTTCCCCCAGAGGCAGCCCCAAGGTGAAGAGTCCAGGGCACCCAGCTGATTCGGGAGGTGAGGGAAGAGGGGAAAGGGCCATCGCGAGCTACCCCTGCTGCAGTAGGTCTGCCCCGGTGAGAGTGAGGAAGACTTTGGGCTTCAGAATACAAACAGGACAAATGAGTGAAGCCACCTGAAAGTGGGCCGTCCAGGTCGAGCCATCCCAGCTGATGCACGTGGAACTGAAAGCAACCGCCCGGCGGAACCCTGGCCCTCCTAAGATTTGTGAGGCATGACTGGATACGTGACTGAGGTCTCAGTTTCGGGGTGCTTTGTTACAGAGCATTGGGTCAGCAAAATACCAGAGCCTTTGGATTTCATTTCAGGACGGACTCTGGCACCAGAGAGTTGAACCCTCTTAAGAGGGAACAATCTCCATGCAACAGACTGGAAAGAGTCAGGGGTGGCAGGAGAGTCAGACCCTGCTGTGTCCCCCAGACTGTTCCTGCTGGGCCTCCCTGCCTGCTCTCTCTCTAGAGAGAGAACTCCAGGTTGATGTGGGGAGATCCAAAACAGAGGGGACCAAGCTCCAGGGTTTACAGGCTACCATGGGGTGAGGACAGTACAGGACAGATGTCTGGGTGGCATGGGGGCCTGAGACAACTGGTGAAGGCTTGGGATCCCAGACTGGAATAGCAAGATGCACCATATCTGCGTGCTGAAAAGTAATGGGAAGGACCTTATTGTTGGCCCTGTGTGGGACAAGGGGTAGGACTTGGCTGGGTTCCAGTGTCCAGGCACACACCACCCCGGCCTTCCCCTGCACAGAGGTGCCTCCTCCAGCCCAGGACCCTCACAACTCTTCAGATCTTGGGTTGGTAGTTAAAAGCCCAGGCTGTGTACCCAGAAAGACCTGTGTTCAAATTCCACATATGTATGCTGATGTGCTGTGTGGCCTTTTGCAAGAGACCAGGCAGGGGGCTTGGGGACAGTGCCCCAGGTTCCAGGTGTCTAGAATTTCCTATTCCAGACCCCGATGTTCTGGCCTCATCAAATGATTACATAACAACTTCCACCTCCCAACAGGGTCTGGTAGGTCCCTCAGTTTACAGATGCCGAAACCGAAGCCCAGACTCAAGGTCAGCAGTCCCTTCTGCTTAACATACATGACTTCACTTCAGCCTCTCAACTACCATGTGAGGTGGGCACTAATGGGTGCTTCCATTTTACAGACCAGAAGACTGAGGTTCAGAAAGGGAAGCCATTTGCCCAGGGTCATACAGCCTGTCAGGAGGTCAAAAGTCAAATCCGGAGTCTGTGCTCATGCTCTGGCACACTGGCTAGGCGCAGAACGGCCAGAGTTGAGGTTGAAAGCGGACACAGAGACGAGATCATTAAATCTAGGATGCATATCATTTCAGCGAGAATCTGGGAAGGCTGCTGAGAAGTGAACTGAGACTCAAAAAACAAAACAAAAAACACCAAAAATCAAACATGGGTGGAGAAAGGCCAGGAGGTGTGACAGGGTATGTCTGCAGACCTGGTAGTGTCTGGGCGAGACTGAACTTCATGTTCCCAGAAAGGGTCTTCAACAAAGGCCAAACGCAAAGCAGATGAACGAGGTTGAGCAAAAACCACTGTGGACCCGCCCCTGAGCACCCGAATCGCCCCGCCTTTGCTCACTCCGAGAACCTTGCTGGAACCGTACGCTCCAAAACTTTTGAATTGTCTCTAGTAATTATCTATAGTTTTGCCTTATCCGTGAGCCTACTCATCCTCTTGAGTTTTCTTCTGTCGTTCCCGGAAGAAATGGCCCCATCCCCATCTCCAGCTCTAAGGGAAAGCTAAGCCAAATCTGGCACGTCCCGCGACTGCGCACGCACCCACCACCACCCGGACGTGACTCGTGGAACGTCCGCTCCAGGCAGCGGCGGGGCGGAGGCGGGGCGGGCAGTGAGGTGCCCGGTCAATACGTCCAGGTTCTGCGAACATCGTCGTCTGGGTTCAGAACTGGGACTCAGGGGTCTCGGCCTCTCAGTTTCATAAGTCCTCTGAAGCGTCTGAGGTCTTTCTCCCACTAGGGTCTTCATTCAGGCACTTACTTAGCCACCCATTCACCCTTCAGGGGCCTTCCTTGCCCTCCCCGCCGCTAACTAAGTGACGGATGCAGTAGCCAAGGCGACCGTCTGATTGACAGACAAGATTACCAACCAACTTCCGGAAGCTCCCGTCTGGACCCGCCCGGCGCGTGGCCGGTGGCCCATGAAAGAAGTGAAAGCGCCAAAAGGGACGGTAACCGACAACCTAGGTTGTTGGGACCTGAGGCGTTTTCGGACAGTCGGACGATGCCGTGACGCAGCATAGAGACAGCGTTGGCAGTGTGAGCGCACCCTTGTGGAGGGAGCCCTTAAGTCGCAGAGGTGGCACGGCGTGGAGGCAGGTTGCTATTTGAGGGTGCTCCCTTCGAGTGCTAGAGTGGGGGAGGGGTGGCGGACGAGGAGCGGTTCCCGTCTGCGCTTGCGCCTGCACCTCTGCCGACCCTGCCCGCACGCACACGCATGCCCGCTGGTCGTGGAGCCGCGGTGGCTGGCGGCACTGCGCGTGCGCATTGACGAGCCTGCCGAGGAGCGGCGCTGGCGGACGTCGGGCGAGCGGCGCGTGACGTCGTGAGGAGCGCTTTAAAGTGCGGGCTGGGCCGGGCGACTGAGGGTCTGGCCGGGAGTCAAGCCGATCCTGCGCAGTGGCCCTCCGCGGCATGAGGTGCTGCTGGTGCCCCTGCTGCCCGGGACGTGGAGAAGGTGGAGGAGGAGGAAGCCCCTTAGCCGCCACCGCTGCATGACCCGCCGCCCCTGAGGTTCGACCCAGCGCCTGGTCTTTCGACTTCCCCCGGCGGGTCCTCGCATGGGGGCCTGACGCTGAGGACCCCCTTCCCTCCGGGGGCCCCGGGGCAAGTCCCCCGAGAGCCATGCCCGGCCGCCCTGCCCACCCCGAAGGACCCTAGAGCAGCGTCGCGGGGCTATGGCGGCCGCCAGCGGTTACACGGACCTGCGTGAAAAGCTCAAGTCCATGACGTCCCGGGACAACTATAAGGCGGGCAGCCGGGAGGCAGCGGCGGCAGCGGCCGCCGCTGTGGCAGCCGCCGCCGCGGCCGCGGCCGCCGCCGAGCCTTACCCGGTGTCCGGGGTCAAACGCAAGTACCAGGAAGACTCGGACCCCGAGCGCAGCGACTACGAGGAGCAGCAGCTGCAGAAGGAGGAGGAGGCGCGCAAGGTGAAGAGCGGCATCCGTCAGATGCGCCTCTTCAGCCAGGACGAATGCGCCAAGATCGAGGCCCGCATCGACGAGGTGGTGTCCCGCGCCGAGAAAGGCCTGTACAACGAGCACACGGTGGACCGGGCTCCGCTGCGCAACAAGTACTTCTTCGGCGAGGGCTACACGTATGGCGCCCAGCTGCAGAAGCGCGGGCCCGGCCAGGAACGCCTCTACCCGCCAGGCGACGTGGACGAGATCCCCGAGTGGGTGCACCAGCTGGTGATCCAGAAGCTGGTGGAGCACCGCGTCATCCCCGAGGGCTTCGTCAACAGTGCCGTCATCAACGACTACCAGCCCGGTGGCTGCATCGTGTCCCACGTGGACCCCATCCATATCTTCGAACGCCCCATCGTGTCTGTGTCCTTCTTTAGCGACTCCGCGCTCTGCTTTGGCTGCAAGTTCCAGTTCAAGCCTATTCGGGTGTCGGAACCTGTGCTTTCCCTACCCGTGCGCAGGGGGAGCGTGACTGTGCTCAGGTAACCCACCTGGGAGGAGGGGGCGGGCCTGCTGCTGTAACTGCCTGCCCTGAACTAGGTAGCAGGAGCCAATTGGAGCCCGCACTTTACAGTTCCAGTCCGTTCAGTGGTCTGCGTTTAAAACGTGCACGAAAGCCGGAAAGGGTCAGGGAATTATCTAGAATTCTGTGTCCTGAGGGTAGGTTTAACGTGATCACGGACCTGAGAATCTGTAGGCATTTTTCCAGAAGGCTAAGGTTTTAGGAAACTTCTTTTTGTGATTTTAGCAAGTCCCTTTTTTATTTTGGATGTCCGTTTTCAAAGGTATGTTTTTAAAAAATGAGTTGAATTTACCGTTTCAAAGTCTTTTCAGCTCTGCCATTTGTGGTTTCCTTAACAGAGAAAGTGTTCTTGGATTTCTTAACAGAAAAAACAGAGGAAGGTCCCTGGTCATATTTAATTGATACCCAGTCTCCACTCCCAAGAGGGGGAGTGGCATTCCTGGAATTGAACAGAGTCGTGGTTGGGCCGGGAATAGAGTGCTCCCCGCACTTAAAATTCAGTCCCTGTGTGTGCAGTGGAACCCATTGGTCCTTTGTAAGAATGTGTTACCTGTTACCAGGATTAAGTGAAAACAAAATAAAGCTGGCTTCTCTACCTGGAATTTGGTTTTGTAGTTGTGTCAGCAGCAGAACTTAGGTGCTTGATCTGTTTTGGGCCCGACATTCTGCTGAGAACTTGTCATTGCTCCTAGAGAAGATCGCATGCTGGAACTCTTTTGCTGTTTATATGAAGCAAAACATGTAACTGGAAGCTCCCTCCTTCCAGCCCCAGGTAAACCTAGCAGTGTACTTTAGTAATCCCCAGAACCTCTTGGGAGGTATAGACTTGAGCTGTTCAGAGCGGCTTGTTTGACCACCGGATTCTACTATGGGATCAGGACACGCTCAAGTTTTGTTGCGAGAAGTTTAACCTCTGACGTGCAGGCAGTGCTGTATAGCTCAGGGTCATGGGGGAAAACAGGGTCCCTGGAGCCCTCTTCCTATAGGAGCAGGTCATCTGATTTGAGTTCAACAGCTGAAGCTGCTTCCATATCTGAGATGGTAGCAGAGCCTTGTGATACCCAAGGCCTCTTTGTGGGAAATTGTGGGAAGTCAGTGGCGGCAGAAGCAGTACCTTGGCTTCCTAATGTGTCAGTTGCCTCGTTGTCATTTGGGCTTCTCAGCTTCTCCTCAGACCTATGCATGGTGCCCCAGATTGATATCTTAGCAGAGCCCTTTAGGGTGGGGTTTCCAGGGCACCCCCTCTCAGGTAACTGGCTGTGGAAGACAGTTCGGTGTCTGTCTTCATTGAAGGGTACTAGATGCTGAAAGGACCGTATACAAGGGCCATTTGGCCTCTTAACGGGTTGTTAATTTTCCACGTAGTCACATGCCCTTAGGCTTGTTGTCAGAAGGTCTAACAGTAGTCAGGTGTGTAATGAGATCACAAGGGACTATTTGTGACTTTGAGACTCCCTGCACCCCGGTATACATGAACACCCCTGTGTTGAAGAGCAGAAGTTTCATGTCCTTAAAATGCAGGTCTGGGAAATACTTTATAAAGTATGTGATTGTCTAAGCACTATACTGTATACATGAAATCAATGCAAAATAGTACTGAAAGTAAACTGTAATTGAAGAAAAAAATCTTTTAAACGCAGGTCTGTTATTGATCAGCACCGCAGTTGCATCATCAGGAAAATTTTCTCCACCTTTTCTTTAGAATAGTAAAGTCCTAAATCTTTTCTAGTCCTTTCCCGCCTCTCCATCCCCACTGCCATTCTGACTTGGCTGTAGAGTTAGTGTAGGAGGCTTGGCCATGTCCTGAAAAGTGCTGCCCAGGCTTTGAATCCAGCCTTCATTGGCTTTGGGAACTCATGGGCGGCCTCTGTCCTGGCTGTCCCATCTGTAAGGTGGGGGTGATCCCAACATCCAAAGCCTATTAGAATTGAATGTGGTGATTTGGTGTATGATGTAGGACCTGGTACAGGGTAGGCACTTCAATAGGTGCTTGCATTTGTGCACAGTCATTTAATGATTCCCTGCTCCTTCTCTTTGGAGAAGGAGCTAGGGATTCGGTGGAACCTAAAACATGATTCTTCCCTTCATGGAATTTGCAGCCCAGTGGAGACGGCAGACAGTTAAAGCCCAGGAAGGTAACTGTAGGAGTATGTTGAGGGAGGAGAAGGGACATCTTAGCCCATTCTGGGTTGTTGGAAATTTTGGGGAGTAGGCAAGCTGGAACTGGAAGAGTGAATAGGAAGTAGCCAAGCAAACAGGCTTTGGCCATAGTAGCAGGGAATAGCCATAGGTAAGGGGCATGGTTAGATGCTGACTTGAGGGAGGTGAAGTTATTAGTGCTCACATCTAGCCTGGACCGGAAGCAGGGAGTCTGGCGAGGCATGCCTTTGGTAACGCTCTAGGTCAGAGCTTCTCAACAGCAGTACTGTTGACATTTGGGGTGGCTAATTCTTTGTGGTGCTGGGACTGTCCTATGAGTTGTAGAATGTTTATTGGCATCCCTGGCCCTTATTCATTAGATGCCAGTAGCACCTATGACAGTCAAAAATGTCTCCAGAGATTGCCAAATTTCCTTTGGAGAGGGTGGTGCAAAATCATCCCCAGTTGCAAATCATTGCTCCAGTGTTCTGATACCCCCGTTACTTTAAATCCTACAGCACCTGCTCACTTAGCGCTCTCAGCTTACTTGGTGTGCAGGTGGGTTAGCACCTGCTTTTTAGTAATGGTTCTCTTCAAATCCTGTTTGGATTCTTTCCCAAACTGGTAAAAAGGTGTAGCTTCCTTTCATTTCCTAGGATGTATCCCTGCCCAGGGGTGAGGAGTTACAAGGCTGCCGTTGGAAGGGAAGGGCTGACGAAGAGTGGCTCTCTGCAGATGGGGAAGGTTCAGGTAATTCTGATCTGACTGAGACTTCGGTTGGTGGTGGCAGTCCTGTTTATACCTGTTCAAGGCAACATGGCTAGAATACTCCTATCAATGGTTGTCGCCGTAGATGTTAGTGTGTGCCACACATTGACTCAGCAGTGTCCCGACTTGGGCATTTAGAGCAAGGCTTTACAGACCCTTCTGGAAGCGCTGCAAACTTCTTCCCAAATCGACTTAGCAGTTGTTTTTGTTTGTTTGTTTGTTTAACCTTCCCCTGTTGGGTTGGGGTGGATCTTCTCTAAATGCTGTTCTCTAGGGAACTAAATATAGTTTACCTTCTCTTCATACTACACTCCTATTCCTTGTAGAGTGAATGAGCAGATTAAAACAAATTTCAATCAGATTAATTAGAATGATTATCTCAAGGCTAATTGCTTACTTGCTGCTACTTTTAATCATTGCATGGTCAGTGGTTGTGATGACCACGTGCCTGAGACCCAGGCCTTAGCCACTTGTCTGGAAATGACTACAGTATATCGCCCAGCCATGGGATATGAATAGGTGAGCTCAGCTGACAGTTGATACGGGGTGGAGTGGGCACTTCTGTCAGTTCTGGGCTAAGGGCTGATCCTGTTCAGCTGGTTGAAAGCAAAATTTAGCTTTCCGGCTGAAAATAGGTGGGAAAGTAGGGCACGTAGGTCTGGGCTACATCTCTTGTGTGGAACCTTTTGATTCCATGGGAGGGGAAGGAACTTCCCTATGAAGTCAGGGCTGTGCTCTCTCAGGAGGCGCTCTGGGCCAGACCTTGCTTCTGACAGGCCCGGCATGAAGGCAGAGAGCAGCGAAGGAAAGGAAGCTAGCAGGCGAGCTGTGGTCTTAATCATGAAGCCCAGAGCAAGCAGAAAATAAACAGGGCATAAAAATTTCAGGGCTGGATGGCCATTTTCGGCTGGGCAGTTGGTGTGCAGCTGTTGCTAAGGTCTTGCTGAGGCCAGTGAGGCCCCAAGGACAGATTGCATCTTGTCACCAGGAAACATAGATGGGTTTTTCTTCCTAGCCCTCATTACCTATTTCCCACTTAAAATCAAAAACCAAAAACGTAGCATAGACACTGAAATCAAGAGTTTGATTGTCATTCCAGTGTCACCATCTTAGCTGTTCGACCTTGAACAAGTTACTTAACCTCTCTGGGTCTTAGTTTTCCTCTGCCAAATGGGGCTTTTAATACCATAGAGTTATCGAAGATTGAATCTCTTTCACGCTACTGAACGCTTGAAGTTGACGAACACTGTCTCTGGAGATGCTTAGCTACTCTGTCTATACCTTGGTGTATACAGAATTGGGACTTGGCGAAGACCGACCTTCTTTATAAGGAGCCTCAGGACTTCCGATAAAATTAGGCCACGTGACTTCTTGGAGGTTTGGGTCTTGAGCTCACAATCCCACCCCTGTGCCAGGTGGCTGGCCTAGTGCCTGCAAAAAGCTTCAGCTTCTCAGCCATGCAGGCCTGTCACTGGAGGCTGCCCAGAATGGGTAGCACCAGCCAGAGGGAGGCTGTCACAATGCCAGTATCTTGGCCAGTCCCTCCATCTCTGGTTCTGTCCTGCACCAGGCAGGCACCATAGAAAGGGAATGGTGGCCATTGTGGAAATATGCCTTACCAACAGTCTCCGAGACAGTCCCCTAGAGGATTTACAGTCCATTATTGATACTCATATTTCTCATTTAACCTGCACCTTATCCTCTGAGAAACAAGTTGCCCTTTCACAAATGTAGAAACTGAGGCTTCAAAGCAGAACAGTTGAGCTCAGCACATTTCGTTGTGTCCCCTGTGGGTGGGCAGTGTAGGAGAGCCCCGTCCTGGGGAGTTGAGGAACGCTTCTCGGGACGAGACACTCGAGAGTCACTCTGAGGCACAGAACTAGCGGATGACAGAGCCACGTTCTGTGAGTCTTGAGGCTGGCAGCATACTAGTTCCTGCTGCATGAGGAGACTCAACCCAGGCAAGCTGAGCAGCATGCGGTACTGCCCCCTGCCATGCAAACAAAAGAGCAGGAGGCACTGGAACTTTTCTTTATGCCAAGTAAGGCTTTACCCAGGGCATATTGTTTCAGGTTGGCAGACCAGGACTTGCAAACAGATTCTCTTGCGGCAAGTAGGTTCCTTAGTAAATAACCCTCTGTGGTCTCTGCTCGACCCTTCCTGCTGATGGTTGGCCCGAAGAGCATCCCCTGCTCAAGGCTTTGAGCCTCCTGCTCCCAGAGGAGCCTGACACTTCGTGGAGGGGTCATTAGGCTGTGTCCCAGCTGCCAGAAAGTTCTAAAAGACCAGTGCTAATGAGTTTTTCAGGGGGGTCAGTGCCACCTCCTCACTAGTTCTGAGGCCCGGGCCCTGTGGCAGGAACCTGGCATGGCTTGTTCTACATTCTAAAGCCCTTTGGGGTGTAGAGACCATCAGGTTTTGATAAACATCTGGATTTTCTCCAGAACTATGTTAATGGCCGTGGTTTCTTGCTGGAGATGGGAAATCACGGCCGCTGACAGTGCCTGTCGTGAAGCCAGATCCTGGTGGTAAAGCTGGATCGATACCACTTGTTATCAGTGGGGAGGGTTGCCTGTAGCCAGTACTGCAGCTTCAGGCTGTAGAAATGTGCCTTGGAGCACCTTTGGGGGATTGGATTTAGCTCTTTGAGGAAGTCCTGTATTTATATGGGACTGCCCTGCACTCCCTCAGTGTGGAGTAACCAGAACATAGGAAGAGACCTAAAGCTTCTGGCCCTGGGAATGGGGCCCAGGGGCCTCTGCTGCTGGCAGATCTCTGCATGGGGAGCCTGGATCACGTCTTCTTGGCAGGTGCTGAGCCCAGGGCTCTGGATTGCCCCAGGGTGGTCCAGCGCCCTCTGGTTTATGTCGGATGTTTAGGAAATGGGAGTGGGGTCCCAGGCACCCTGCATCATGTGACTTACTGATCGCAAAAGCCCTGCAGGCGGGCCTTTCTCTGCTCCTTCTCAGGGATGCCAGCCATGCAGTGATACAACTCTGTAATTCTGCCTGCAAGGGAGGAGGCACTCTCCCCCTTTTAAAGTTTTATAACCAGTCCTGGCTGAGTAGCTCTGTTGGTTAGAGCGTCATCCTGATATGCCAAGGTTGTGGGTTCAATCCCTTGTCAGGGCATGTACCAGAATCAGCCAGCCAATGCATGAATGGATGGAACAACAAATTGATGTTTCTCTCCCTCTTCCTCTTCCTCTTCCTCTCTCTCCATGAAATCAGTAAGTGAATTTTTAAATATTAACATTTATAATCATTACTGGCCATAAAGGAATACCTAAGTTGTAAACCCTAACAAAATGAACATCTGGAACCTATTACAGAGGAAGAAACTTAGGTTTAGGTCCAGCAAGGGACTTAACTAAGGTCAGAAAGATAGCAGGTGGCAGAGCTCAGGTTTAAGTCCAAGTCTCCAGCTCCTCAACCCCTATGTGGCATTTCACACTGGGCCTGCAAAACGTTCACAGGTGATATTTGAGAGAAGGCTTTTTTGGTCAGTGCTCAGTTAAAGTCAGCAGATTGTTTTGCTATCATTTCAGATCCTTAAACTTAACATTTTCCAAATTGATTTGACGGTGGGCATTTGTCTTTAGTCTCTTGAGTGACTGATGATCACAGAGAAAACTGAAGAATTCTGGTTTAGGAGCAGCTCTGAGGGGAAATCCCTAAAATAGAGGATATTTTCATCACCCACAGTGTGACATCAAATCAGATTCCCAGTTCACAGGTGCTTCCCTCTCAGACGTTTTTATTCGCTCTGCACCTTGCCCACAGTGGGGCCGGCCGGCCTGCAGTGTCTGTGGCAGTTCAGCCTGAGTCTTCACAGTGGCCCTCGAAGGGAGCTGATGAGAACGTGCAGTGGAAGATGTCTAGCCCAGGGGGGGTCGAGGGCTTCCTGAGCAGGAGGAGAAGGCAGGGAGGGCACGCCCCTCCCTCCAGGCCTGCGGCCGAGTGTGTTTCTGGCTGAGTAGAGCTACCTCAGCTAAGTGGAGGAGCTCGGGGTGTGGTGCCTCTGGGGTGCCGTGCGCCCAGTGAGGGCATGTGAGGGGCTTGGGAAGCTGAGTTTGCTTCCAGATATCAGATCAGAGAGATGTTAGCTATGAAGAGGACAATCATCTCCATTCATTGGTCGGTGAGCAGTTTTAAAAGTGGTATATCTTGATGAAAATAGATATTTGAGTGTGATGGAAATTCCTAAAATATCTCAAATGCAGCTGTCTTCAAGATTTTGGAGTCCCCCCAAATGGGGGTTTTCTTGAAAACCTTTTTTCAAGTAGATTCTCTTTTTGAACATCACGTCTACCTTGGCTTCCTCAGCGGGCTGAAGGTTGGGAGGGGGAGGGAAAAGGGAGGAGGAGATGTTTTTCTTGTCACTAGGGTCTGGCCAGAGTCACTTCAGCTGCCTCCAAAGTGACTAAGGTGTACCCTCTTGAAGGCCCTTTATAAGAAGGGTTTCTAGCCTGCACCGGGAGATTCTTGCTTTGGCTTCTGCCTTAAGGTTTCTGTGCTTGGTTTCTGGACAGAAGTGTTCTGGAGCTTAACATGTTATTTGCCTGAGACCTCTCAAATAAGACCTGGACCAAATTTTTTTTCCTTGATGTCCCCTGCCCCGGGAACCCTGGTTGTCTGTCTACTCTCCATTCTCACGTGCTCTGTTTATTTTCAGTGGATATGCTGCTGATGAAATCACTCACTGCATACGGCCTCAGGACATCAAGGAGCGCAGAGCGGTCATCATCCTCAGGAAGTAAGTGCCCTGGTGGCTGGCACCTGCAGGCCTGCCTGTCTGAAGATGGGGGTCTGGGTTCCCCTAGAACGTGGTTCCTTTGTATCAATAGCATGACAGCCTAAAGCCTGAGAGAAGAAAAAGGTTGTAAGGTCTGTCTGTTTGTTTTTTAAAATTTGAATCCTGTGAGAATAAAATATATTCATTAGAAAACTGAGCTCTGTGGCGCTTTAACTAGGGAGCTTAGGACTGAACAAAAGCACATGCTCCCAGTGTTCTTATGGGAATAGTCCTAAGACAGGATTTGGGGAACACTTTTCCAGACCCCCCCCTCTTCTTTTCCCCGCCTCCTTGATTCTGATTTGTCACCTGTGTTTTTGCTGATTATTTTTAGACTGTGCCTTAGCAGCCTACTTTAAAAATGCCTAGGTTTTCACTTTCGGGAGGAGCAGGGAGTCAGGATAGGAAGTGAAGGTGGGAGGCAGGGCAGCAGTGTTCGGCAGGTGCATAGCTTGTGGCTGTCCCTCCTCTTGGGCCGGGGAGCCCGGGATGTAGTGACCAGCACTGCCAAAGCCAGCCTCACCGGCACTTTTTCTTTCTGCTCATGGGGTGAGTGGTCTGGCCAAGCGGACCCTGGGTCAAGACAAGCCTGCCGGGAGGACGGAGTGCAGGGCCAGGCGAGCCGTGAGTGGGCAGAGCAGGGCTTGTGCTTAGACCCGGGCTGGAACGGTATCCTGGAGCGTGCCATCTTTTTTTTAATTTAGGTAAACTTTACTTTTTTAGAACAGATTTAGATATACAGAAAATTGCGAACATAATACTGAGAGGTCCCATGTACCCCAGGCACCATGTCTCTTACTGTTAACATCTTATATTACAATCAAGAAATCAGTATTGACCCATGATTATTAACTAAAGTCCATACTTAATGAGATTTCCTTAGTTTTTCCCGAATGTTCTTTTCTGGTTTAGGATTCCACGTTACATTTAGTTTTTATGTCACCTTAGTCTCCTTGGCTGTGACTGTTTCTCAGACTTACCTTACTCATGATAACATTGGTGAGGTATTTTTTTACATCTCTCCGTGGTGTTTGTCTCATTTTTGTCATGGTTAGATCAGGGTTATAGGTTTTGGGGAGGAAGACCGCAGAGGTATAAAGCAGCCTTCTCCTCAGTGTCATGTCCAGAGCACAGGACTTAACCCTGTTGATGTTGACACTGGTTGCCTGGCTGAGGTTGTGCTCCTCGGATTTACAAAAAGTCTGCTTTCCAAAGTTGCGCTATTCTCCCTTCCATATTGTACCCTTAGGAAGGAAATCTCTGTGTGCAGCTCACATATAACTGGGAAGGTAGCTCCTCCTCTTTAAGGGGGAAGTAGCCACACAAATTATTTGGAATTCTGCACAGGAATGAATTCTTCTCCCCCATTTGTTTGTTTATTTATTTAATTATCTACTTACGTCACTACGGCCTCGTGGGTGGGTATTTTATGCTCAGCTTGTTTCAGGTTTGGTCATTGGGAGCTCTCTTTAAGTGCTTCTTAACTTGCCTCATTTATTTATTTATTTATTGAACTTCATTCGGTAACTTTGGGCCTAACCCTCCAGAACCATGTGGTGGGAAGTCTCTTGGGTGTGGCTCCGCCACTTCATCAGGTCAGAACTTTGGGCCTCTGTGTCTTGGTCTGTGGAATGGAGATGATTTAAACCTGTGATGCAGGCAGAGCACTAGGCACGTTTGGGAGCTCGGGACACAGGTCAGCTTGGCATCCGGCAGCCTCTCCTAACCAAAGAATGTTCCCACAACTCATCAGAAGAAGGTTTTCTGTCTGCCTTGTGGTTTTCAGCCCAGGCCCAAACTCGGAGCCTGGAAGCGATGGAGCCCAGAGTCATTTCTTCTCAGTCTCTCCTGGTACCTCCAACTGCCGCCAGGGACAGGTGGCCCACCCAGGCCGGGAGCTGGAGAGGAGCTCCCAGGGTGGTGCCGAACCAGAGCAGCAGCTTCTCAGGTGTTCCCTCCCAGCTTCTGAAAGTAGTGTAGGTCAGGGACGTCTTCCTGGAGGTGCGGATGGAGGTGGCCATAGCCAGAGCATCAGCTGTGTCTGTCTTGAATGGTGGCTCCACACCTGGCTACCTGGATGTTCCCGGGGGGATGTAAATGTCTGCGCTGCTAACCAGTTCCTTGAGGAAGCTCGTCAGCCACCAGGGCTCCAGCAGTGGTCTGACCTCAGAGAGTGGCTGTTACGGGTGACTGGGGCTCTCTGACCTTCCGACCTGAGTGGTCCCAAGACCTAGGTCCCTTAGGTCCCAGGGACTAGGCTGGAGAGCAGACACAGAGCTTTGTGTGAGAGGGCTGACAAGGAGCGGGAGGGTGCTCCCGAGCTTCTCCAGGCAGCTGAGGCACAGGCTGCTTCCCTGTCGCCTGCGGAATGAAATCCAAGCTCCTTGTTGGGGTTTGCCTGTCCATCCGGCCCAACCTTTCTACTCCTCACTTAATGTTAAAGTACTTGCAGTTCCTAGTGTCGTCCTTGGACTTGTGTCCTGGGCTCTTCCAAGAGTGTGGCCTCTGGTAGGAATGCTTTCCCATCTAACGTGTTCAGCTTCTGATGTACACCCTAACCGCCAAATGACCCACAGTCACACACTAAAAGTTGGTTACCTCAAGGCTTACGTGTTTTTTGGCTGATTTGACATTCAGGGAGCATTGCATACACACCTGTAGCCCTCTCACTCCACCTCCTCCCCATTTAAACTGGCACAGTCCACACACTTGCATCGGGAATTCCCAGCTCTGTATTCTGTAGGGGCAGGGAGATCCCGATCCATCGGGAGCTCAGCATGAGGCCTGGCCCAGAGGACCGTTGGGGCTGAGGAGGAGCAGCTCCAGAGTAGCTGTAGGGGCTCGTCTTGGTAAAGGACACGCTTGGCCCTGGCTGGTGTGGCTCAGTGGACTGAGCACTGGCCTGCAAACCAAAAGGCTGCCGGTTCGATTCCCAGTGAGGGCACAGGCCTGGGCTGCAGCTGCGTCCCTGGTTGGGCAGCCCATGGATGTTTCTCCTGCACTTTGATGTTTTCTCTGCCTCTCTTTCTCTCTCCCTTCCATCCTCTGAAAATAAAGGAATAAAATCTTTAAAAAAGAAAAGAAAATGACAAGTTGGTGACAAGATGAAAAGGGGAGCATCCTGGCCCAGGCACTTCCCAGATAGCAGGGATGTGGCCTGGTGGGTACCTGGTTGACCTGATGTCTTCTGGTGTAGTCGCATTCAGATGGGTAGAAGTTGGGCATTGAGCCTGGCCCTACTCATAAGCAGAGGGGAGAGCCGGTCTGTCCTCTCTTCAGATTACGGGGAGGGCCTTGGGGCTCTGTCACTGGCTCAGGTCAGTCAGCTGGGATGGTTTTTCTCAGGGCCACCTGGGGGGAAATGGGTAGGTGGCTGCCAAGTACTTCTGGTTCAGCAAAGTGCAGCTCCTTCGACTCTGGGTGGTGCTCAGTCATCGTGCAGGTGGTGTCCCTGTATCTCACAGGGAGACCTGGGAGGCTGGGAGTGACCTGAGAGCCTCTGCAGTGGAATTCTTGCGCTGCAGCTTAGTGCTGTAATCTGGGGGCACTACCAGTGAGGCCTAGAACCTGGCTCTCCTGGGGCAGAGTCTTGCTGGTCCCCTGGCTGGTGGCGCAGTGGCACACCCCAAGCCCTGCCCCTGCCTCAGTGTGTCAGTGAGCGGATGCTGTGAGTTTAAGAAACATACACAGAAGTGCTTTCTTGCCCCTGCTGTGTAAGTAGAGGGCTGAGCGATGAGAGTGTCTTAAGTGACAGGGGGCTACTCTGCAGAGAGGGGGTGAAGCGGTCGCTGCAGGCCGGCCAGCTTCCCTGAAGGGCACTGTTTCCCAGCCCACCCAGGGAAAGCCGCCCAGAGTGCTGCTTTGTGAGTCATTGGCGCCCTGGGTGGGGGAGCTGGACCTCGCCTTTATGAAGGTGCACAGTTTTAAATCACTGGTTGGAGAATGAAGGGACTCACCATCTGGAGTGTAACAGTTTATCAGAGCAGGTGGTGGTCTATTTTTTCCACAGTTCCCTGGTGTGTACCTTCTGAAGGACCTTGTGAGCTGCCCCATGCTGAGCACTTACCTACTGGGTGCTAGGCACTGAGTAGAGTGCTGCCTACGGCCACACATCCTTGACCATCTTCAGGTGGCACTTCTCTGGAAAGCTAGTGTGGAAGGATATTTGAGCAGGAATTCCAGACTTGGAAACATGAAGCATCAACCATGCACAAGGCACCCAGGGCAAACATGCAGGAAACTTAGCTCCCTTGGTGCTTGGTTTGTTACATAGGTGGGCATTTTGTATGCCAGTGCAATGCAGGCAGGATGAGCACGGTTCCAGAAGCAGAGCGTGTTTCCTGAGGCCGAGGGGGGCGGATTACATCCGGCTCTGGGGGGGGTATGGGACTTGGGGGGGGGCTGGTGCTTACAATAGGCTTGGTAGCAGCACACCCGCACCTTTCTTCCCTCTCAGGTGTGCCATCTCCTGAACGCTAAGGGGCCCCACAAGACTTGCAACCGGGGGAGCATGGGCTGTAGCAGGTCGTCCCGGGCTCACCCTCCGATCCTGTCTCCAAGCCCCCTTTTTTCCTCACTTCCCAGTGACCTAACAGCAGCCCCGCCCTAGGCTCTCCCGGTGCTGCTTCTATCCTAAGCCTGTCCTTGTTTCACCGTCACCAGCTTTAATAAATGGACTCTCAAAAAAACAAAACAAAACAAAAAGGCCTGGCCGATCTGGCTCCCGTGTTAGACGCTGCATGCCAGGTGGAAATGGTGAGAAGCTGAGGCTGGAAGGCAGGAAGTACAGAGGGTCTGTGTAGTTGAGAGGTGATGTAAGGGAAGGAGGCCTTGGATCAACATTTGATCATCAAGAGGGAGCCTCTGGGCCTCAGGGCCTTTGGTTGCTGGCAGGACACCCAGTCCCTTGGTCTTCAGGAAGCCCCCAGGGCTGCACCGGGTCTGCACACAAGACACGCGGA